TGCTCTGTTGTTGCCGTTATCGAGCTGGGAGGGTACACCGCAGGAACAACGATTCATTGGGTGAAGAGTTGGTCCTTTATCGGCCTCCGGCAGCTTTCGCGGTGTGTCCAGACGCATCTGATTTCGACTGGGAGGATCCCCGAGGAGCCCTCTTCTAGTGTTAGTTGGGGTAAGTTTGCAGACCGAACGGGGTTTAGTCTGTGTTTTACTTTTCAGCTCCTTTTGCTTCTTATTCTCAGAGGCCTTGATTGAAGTCTGATTCTGTTCTATAAAACTTGTTTGTTGAGCTGGCCGCCATTGATTTAAGGCAGACTACTGTCTCGTCTAAGGGTCTGGGGTCTGGGGAAGAGGGTTAAGACTTAAGAACCTTTGATTCCAACCGAACTGCTGAGATGAAGGCGCTTCTCAACAGTTTGGCGTCTCTAGGATCAACTTTTGGATCTTTTAGTTTGGTCTGTGAAAGTTTCACATGCAGCGGTTTATCTATGCAGACACCTTTCAAACCTAACCGGGAGCGTTTACGGGTGGGAGCTTCGATGAGAACATCATTGGCAAGCTTGAAAGACCCCATATCGACAAGAAGGCCGAGGCACCTGGGCGAAACTTTGGCGGTTAGCCAGATACAGCTAAGGGGTTTGAATTTATGCGATTGTAGAAGGCTGCATATGTGCCTACATATGCTTTCTAAAGTGTCAGGCATAGAGAACCGCCTCCAGAAAATAACCCGCTTGGCACATTGTTCGCTATTCTTTAATTTTTTGTCTGTGTTGAGTATTTCTTGCTGCGAAAGCTTAAGAGCCGTATTCGCAGCACAGGTTGTTGGGACTGACGTTAGGAGCAGAGCTTGTAAGTTGGCTAGCTGGTCGCCAAATATACTCAGCCTAGCTTTAAGGTCTTTTATTTCTAAGGCTCGCTCGTTAATAAGTCCAAACAGATCGGTCGAAGAGTGTTCCGAGCTCACGGTAGCCTCGTCTTGACGCATTGGAAAGGTATCTTCGTCTAGAGACAGAGAGAGCTGCCGAGCGGATGACATGACTAAAAGTTCAGTAAGGATAGTATATTTTCTTAATTTCAGAAAGGCAAGTTGAGATAATGCGGGCTATGGACTAGCGAGAAATTCGACAACAAAGCAGGATCAAATTTCGAACGTACCACACAAAGTCAAGGTCTGTTTAGAAGTCATAGCTAGATTGGGCACTACTAGTCCGGAGGAGATGCTGGGCCCGCTTCAAGGCGAAACGATTTTATGCCTACGTGCAAACTAACAAGAATACTAGGCAGGGAATAGGTACACTGGAAGCTACGGAAGGCGTAATGGCCACCATCGACCAGGAAAAGGCAAATGCACTACTTACGTTTTTCAAGGTAATTTATCCGCCACCAACGGCAGAACAGACTGTGGGCTGTAGCCTGGCTAAAACAAAAGAGCACTTCACAGAGCTTACCCTCTGTGAAAACGACATGTTTCGGGAGCTCAACGCCTAAACAGGCATAAAGCAGCAGGACCGGATAGATTGCATGCCGCCATGATTCAGCTTCTAGCAAGTGCATTAATGGGACCGGTGACTCAGTTATTCAAGGAGTCTATCGGTACTTGCAAGCTCCCAGATCACTGGATAACTGCACCGTAACGGCCATCTACAAATCAGGTCCCAGACACACGGTTTGCAACTATGGGCCGGCAAGTTTGACTTCGGTCCTCTGCAAGTGTCCCGAGCGGATAGTCAGGAAACAGATAGGTTCTTATCTGATGGTGCATAAGCTTCTGATTCAAGCCCATCATGGATTCCTTGAGAACCGGTCTCGCCTGACCAACTTGTTGCCATTTCTAGACGCAGGTTGCCAGGTGGATGTTTGCTACCTAGATTTCAGCAAAGCTTTCGACTCTGTCAGTCATCAGCTTCTGGATCTAACAATGCAGACACTGGGGATTCTAGGTAAGCCAAGCGACTGGATTAGACGATTTCTCAACTGTCGCACATTCCGCGTGAGAGTTAAAAATTATACAATCGAACCTAAGGGAATATCTAGTGGTGTCCCACAAGGATCGGTGCATAAAGCTTTTCTTGACTTGACTTGTTGGGTCCGTTATTATTTTTGATCTTCATTATCGATCTTGCGAAGGATCTCCAAGATCACTGCTACATGTGCGCCGATGCTCCAAAGTTAGCTAGGGAAGGATTGGAACAAGATCTAGATGCAGTTCAAAGGTGGTCAAATAAATGGGATCTAACACTGAATCTAGGTAAGTGTCAGCTCCTGACCACAACAGCCAATGATGACACGAGAGGTGTGATTCATTTGCATCATGCAGCTGAGTCAAAGAATCTAAGGAGAATGATCACAAACTACTACTACTATTTCGGGCCATCCCCGCAGTGCAAGCCTGCGGCTAATAAAGCTCGACACGAAGGTTTCAGGTTGTGAGCTGTTGTAAGTTGCAGAAGACCTGAGGTTTTCGTACCTTTATACAAAACTATAGTTGCTCTTCATTTAATTTTGCGTACAAGCATGGGCGCCCTATTTCAAACAGGATGAACGGTGTCTTGAGAAAGTACAGACATTTAAGATTGTCAAAGGGCTTTCGGGTCTAAAGTTCGAAAACCTATTCTTGTTTGTTCCTGACAGGGGCACGAGGGGGCGTCAGTTTCGATTGAAAAGAAGTCATTGTAGAATAAATGTACGAGATAGGTTCTTCACAATCAGGGTCATACCACTGTGGAATAAATTACCCGAAGCGGTGACTAACTGCAATAATGTCAAATCTTTCAAGAGAAGGCTAAGCGAATGCTAGGCAGTAGTATTTCCAGAAATTGAATGTTGAATCGTAGAAGCCAATGAAACCACTGACAACACAAGGCACTGGACGCGCGATTGGCAAGAGGCACAACTTGTTCTGTGAGAACTGAACCGAACCGAACTTATTGTCTAGTACTAATTGCCTTAATTCTAGAATCTCATTAGGGAAGCTGAGACAATGGCAATAGAAGCATTTGAAAATTCGCTCTTCATGAGGCGGAGAGAGGCAAGAAGGAGGTGTAAGGCGTTCGTGGGTTGCAATGATGGGAAAATAGGGTGAGAACTCCGGGTGCTGCCGGTCGGAGTTTCTGTTGGATACCTACGCGCAAGAATAACGAGGGTTTCACGGATAAGCGGACTTGAGTTTCCGCCATTCTGAGGGGTGACCCTCCGGAGCCCCTATCCGAAAAGTTGGTTTCTTATTGGGAGTGGGAATGGAAATTGAAAGGAGTGAAATAGCTTTCGAAAACGTGGTACGCTTCGGGCGGGTTGGAAGGGTAGTCTTGAGTTTCTGGGCAGTGGCAACAGGCAGCTGACGCGATTTTTGCCGCGTTAATGTTACTTTCTAGGACGAGGAGATTGCCAGGTATGACCTTTTTGCTTCCGGGGGGGCGGTCGTTGATCACTCTGAACCGGGTTTGCCTTTTTTGGTTTGTGGTCCCGGGGACCATACGAACCTACGTTTTATTCTGAGATGGATCTCAGCGTGTGTAGAATACAAATACTTTTGTACGGCAAGCTGCAAGCTACTGGCTTGAGGCAGATCACTGTCTCGTTCAGGAGGAAATCTTTGGGCCCAAAGTGCAGGACTTGATCAAACGCTACTTCTCTGAGTCGCTTGAAGTATCGTTTTAGGGATAAAGCAAATGTGATAAGCTTACGAGCTAAGGAAGAGGAACCCATATCTTCGACGAGGCCATGGGGAGATTTTGATTTCTTTGGAATAAGCCATGAGCATCTGCCGGGCTTGAAAACCGTCGTATCTAGATGTTTAAAGATTAACTATGTCATTTCCTGAGGGGTTAAGGAGCTCTTTAAATGTCCCCAGGAGATAACCCTTTTCGAAGCAGTTGCGTCTGCTTGTACCATTCTTGCTGTATCCAGTACTTGCTGCTCAAAGACTTTGATTGCTTGCTCAGCCGCCGAGTGAACCTGAGACTTCAACATGAGGACGTTAGGTTTAGCAACCTGGTCACCGAGAGCACTTACTTCGGCCTTCAGCTTTTGCAGTTCCAAGGTCTGTTCCTCTATGATACCTAACATCTCGGCTTGTGGGAGGGCTTTATTCGTGTCTATCACAGGCTCATCTAACTTCATGAGCTGATCACAGTAGAGGCTCTGTGACATAGAATCAAAAGTAATCTACAGGAACTCCAAGACGAGTGCGCACCCCTTAAATTTGGGAAAGTTTGTAATAAGCCTCCATGGTGGTCTCCAGCAATAAGGAGGACACTAAGGAAAAGAAACAGAAGCTGGAGACACTACAGAGAGGTCAATACCCAGCTGGCATGGACAATTTACACTGCTCAGAGAAATAGGACAGTCAGTCTTATAAGAGTAGGAAAGAGAAAATACCAACTAAATTTGGCTAAAAACGTCAAGCAGAAACCGAAAATGTCTTTCAGGTGAGTACAATTGAAACGCAACTTGATGGACGCCAGAGGCGCCTTCGTTATGGGAAACAACACGGTGGCAGCAAACAACCAAAGCAAGGCAGTAGCACTGGGCAACCATTTCGCTATTGTTCATAGGTTAGACAACCGGACATTAGAACGTACAAAAGATGTTAGGGGAGTTGGACATTAATAGGACCCCGGGTCTCGATGGTATATAACCTGCCACTTTGAAGCCTCTTGCCCAAATCTTGGTAGACCCCTTAAGGGTGCTGTTTCAAAAGTCTCTGGAGGACAGCGTGCTTCCGCGTTACTGTAAAACTGCTGTTGTGGTGGCGTTGCAGAAAGGTGGTAGTAGAGCTAACCCACAGCACTACAGACCGGCTAGCTTAACCAGTACTCTACGCAAGTGCATGGAAAAGCTAATCAGGAACCATGTTTGTGCCCACATTTCAGAGTATGCAATACTTAGCGTGGCCCAGTGTGGCATTTGAAAAATAGATCGTGTCTGACTAACCTCTTATGCTACCTAGATGGAGTTACTGAGAGGATAGACAAAGGCCGAACAGTAAAGGTACGTTAGTAAGGCGTTCGATTCCGCAAGTCATAGATTGCTTCTACATAAGCTAAAATTTTTCGGAATCACAGGAACGGTATTTAAATGGATGACAGCATTCTTGACCTATAGGATATTCTGCGTTAGGGTAGAAGAACAAACGTCACCAGTCCTTTATGTCACTAGTGGCGTGCCACAAGGGTCGGTGTTAGGCCCTCTTCTGTTTCTGTTGTTCATAAATGATCTGGTAGAAATTATCAGATAACCTTGCTTCATCATCGATGATAATGTAAAGGTGGTTGAATCTCGTGGAAGATCAGACTGAGGAGACGATATTGCAAAGGTGATCAAGTGGTCTCACTTACGATCTGTCACTAAATGCAACAAAGTCAGTTGCCCTCTAGAACTAGGGAACGATTGAAGGCTCTAGGTGATTGGGGGCAATTTGAAGTAGGCACTGTAACCAGTGCCAGGGATCCAGGAGTCATCGTAACTGCGGATTACAGTTGGAGTACCAAATGTGAAGCTGCAGCACACATGGCAAGAAGACAGCTGTTTTGACTAAGATCAGCAATTTCATATAGAAAAGCAGAAGTATTTATACCCATCTACAAAGCCATCGTAAGGCCTGACCTAGAATGCACTCGCCTGCGCCTGCGCTACACCGGTCGCGGTTGGTCGTTATCCCTTATTTTATTGTTTTTCTTACTGGTTGGGGCTATTTTTGATAGGTTATAGGCATTTTTTGTAGCGTTTATTGTATTGCTTAGTATTATCCGATTTTTTTGGGTTTTCCCTATATTGTATTGCTTAGTATTATCCGATTATTTTTGGGTTTTCCTTGCATATTACTCGTTGGTTTTTGATCATTTTATAGTTATTCATAGGTTTTCTACCCATTTTCGCTAGATTTTTGTAACATTTCTTGTAAGTTTTCTTGTATTGCTTAGTATTATTTGCCTATTTTCGGCTTCCTTGCATACTACTCGTCAGTGTATCACAAGGGGTACAAGATCTAAAATTCTCAAACCTTTTTAGTGGAATATTTGAAATAATTACTTACTAACTACTTCTAACCGCCTCAGTTATTGTGACGCACATTTGTACTCTTTATNTATAGAAGCCATCAAGCTGTATTATTATTGTAACCATAGCTGACATCATCAAAATTTGGGTTATCAAAAACTTAGATTTGAATTAAGAATAAAGAAGCTACATTGCAGGGAAATAGAAAACGAAAA